TCGATAAATTTTTTTTTATTTCGTTTCTACATAGCTGAAGAATGAAAATAAAAAAAAATTTATTGAATTTAATTGGCAGACATCGAAATATCTTTGCTTAAACTTTTAAAAAAATCAAATTTTATGTAAATATGATGCATCAAGAACGCCACCTCAATTTAGGGAGTAATTTAGACCTACCAAAAAAGTAACCGCAGATCTACCAAAAACGTAACTTTTGCCCCATGGAATAAGTTTTCGTCACCTGATACTAATTAAATAGTGATCAGCTGATCACTATTTAATCAGTATCAATGTGCCAAATACTATAGTTATTGGATGCTTCGCATCCAATAACTATTAATTATTAGGCTAAAGAAGGTTCAATGAGGAAAGTATTAAAAACTAGATGTGTTACAGCACCCCCAGTTACAATAGAAGAAATAGTTACAGCATCCAATGCTTTGTCCGTTCAACCACGTACGATGGTTATATGGCTTCACATGATGGTAATTTACGAATTCTGGGGTTGGTTCACAAATAAGAAGTGGGGAAACAGTACAATGCCGGAACCAGCATTGCCGCACATATGGAAAGTCAGGATTATGAAAGAAATACAAACGACGCTAAATAGTCGTTTGCTTAGGGGGAAAGAGAGAGATCTTTTAAAACGCGTAAATAGTGTAAATAGTTTAGATGATTAAATTTTGTACAAATGTAGTCCGTGCTTAAATTAGTATAATAAATCGTGTCACTCGACGTCCCCAGATAATTGCTATCTCGGGGTTAAGGAAAAAAAAAAAAAAAAAAAAAAAAAAAAAAAAACTAGATGTGTTATTAAAAACATCATACAAATTTCAATAACGATAGGGCAAATTTTTTTAATGGGTCAATAACGATGTATTGATTTTTTGTGGTCAATGACGATGACCCAAATGGGCCAATATTAATGTTTTGCATATGTAACAAATTATTAAAATTTAACATAGTTCATACAGTCATACCTGAATTATATCCCACGTTTTTTAGCAGAATAAATTTCCTTTTTTTATATGGTTTGATGTTGAGTTATATCTACACCCTAGTTATATCCCCAAAAGCGCTCTGGAAAAAAGGACTTAATACTGTAGATCTTTTAAATGATTTTAGTAATAAATTCATAATGTTGTTCTTAATAGTGATAACGATGCATCGAAATCCAACAAATTCATTTTCCTAGTTTGTAAAATATTTTCAAAAGGGTTATGCGTCACAGCACTCACTGACTATGAATGTAACAACCAGAAAACAAGGTAACGCACAACCAACTGAACGCAAAGAAAAGGCTTTTACTGGTATTTTATGTGATCGAAGGCGAAAAGGTAAATCTTTTCTTTATTTTTCTTACATCCCTTATATGCATAGAATCGACTCTAAATTAATTACATCTTAATTTGTCCCATGCAATTTTTGATTTCTACTTTAATTACATCATAATTTATAATATGATAATTGACAATTACTTCATAAACTCATATGGCATTTGACTTTTACTTAATTACATATTTCTTATGCACATTAACTAATGATTACATAATGCCCACCGATTGATCCTGATAGTTATTAACCCGCGATTGATGGTGCTTTTTTTTTATGATAATTGAAAGAATGAAATTTAGAAAAAATTTTTTTCTATAGTCTTTTTAACATCAGTTTAAACGTTTCATTTTCTTGAGATAAATCTGTTGGTTCACCATTAATGAGCATAACATTAGCCTGTTCTTCATCATCACCAACCGAAAAATTTGATCTATCTATTACATTTGTGGTAGTAGAATTAAGTGGGGCACGTATATTATTTGTATTATTAGAACTACCTATCAATGGATCAGATAAGGTTGATGAGTTTAAACAATTAGATAACAAATCTAACGGAGAGGATTGGAAAGAATCTTTTAAATGAGTAGGTTCAGGAAGAATTAAATGAATGTTTTGATCATCATTTTGATTGTCAAGAGTTATATCCTGCTTTGAATCGTCCTTTCCAGAGAGAGCAGAAAAGGTATTTTGTTTATTTCCAGCGAAAGAATCGATTGGTGATAAAAGTTTAGGCGAAATTAAATAAGAAGGAATTTTTGGTGCCGAGAAAAGTTTAATAAATAACATGTATCTTAACCATTCTAAAAGCGATGGCTGTAAAACTAAATTATTTTTGTTATTAATAACTCTATTAAAATTGTTATTAATAACATTTTTAATAATAATATTGTTGTCGGTAATATCGTTATTAATAATATTGCTATTAGTAAAGTTATTATTAATATCGTCATTGATAATACCACTTGTAATAACGTCAGCCTTATTGCGATTTAGAGATTTCAATTCAACAAAATCATTTGATTCTATTATCATGTTGAATTCATCAGTAATGGCTTTGTTGTGAGATCGATGAGGATAGTGTGACTCATAAGAGTTAACATTGGTGATCCACCAATATACTTTGACATCCTCGAAAGCACGAGTAACAGCAACATCTTGAGAAAATACAAACACATTCAATAATCCTAAGGTGCAAAAAATTAGAAAAATGAAACAAGATTATCAAAGATGGTCAAACAATAAAAAATAACGCATATATACCTTGAAGTGATAAGCCAATGTCACAAAGCAATAATAGAAGATAAGGGACCGCACTATGAACGTAAGCGTAAGTTTCAACGAAAGAATTAAAAAATTGAGTTACCAATGGCACCACAGGATACCACATAACCCTTCTGACAACAGAAGAAATCAAAGCCTTGTTAATTAAGGTAGGACAATAAGACAACTGAGAAGAATCAAAATTATCGACTTTTTTTGTCGCGGAGCTAAGTTTTCCAATGACCATAATGACAACAATCGTACAATATAATATAGACACAACTACCCAAGCGAATAAAGTAATCCATTGCCATATTATATTATATTCTTGGCCCGAATCACGATACCAACAACTTCTGTAATAAATATTAATAAATATGAACATATGAAATAAATATAATGTTAACTTGATACAAATTCAAAATAAATATGAAATAAACATTTATATACATAGGTATGCACATATATAATAGTATATACATACTCTTCAGGATCATCATAACCATACATATCATTAGCAATAGGAAGAAGAGAAATTAAAAGGGCCGAAAAAAATGAAAATATAAAATAATATTTCTCATAATTATAACGAATTCTATATTCGTTTACGAATACTATATGAAGGTTCTAAATAAATTAAATTTTAAAAAAAGACAAATGAAATATATGCACAGTATAAAGAACACGAAAAATATAATTATGATACATACCAAAACTATACAAACGATAAAGAATAGAGAAGAAAGACCAAAAAATATGATTGCCCAAGTCTTTTACAAATAGATCCAAAGAAATTAAAAAAAAGTTAATATCTGAAAAAAAGCAATTATTGAATATTGAAAAAGAAAGCTAATAGATATCTTACCGCATATGCACACGAAAAATCAGAGAGTTTGGGAGTGCCATCATAAAACAATCCAAAAAAAAGATGACTAGAATAACCTATATCACAGAATAAAGCCGCAAAAGTTAAACGAAATGAAACTCGATCAGCAAGATTAGGATAGTATATTCGTATAAGGATAAATATCACAAATAAGATAAAGGTAGCAATGAGAGAAATGATAATCAAAGGAATGCATAATTTGGCTATAGAGGTGTATTGATCCTTTGTTATTGGGATAATGAAAGTAGCCATTAATCATAGTGTTCTTGTAGAGTAATAGACTAGAATAAATTCGACTAAGTATCAATTTAATATATATATATATCAATATGCAAATATATGCATCATTAAAAAAGTAAGGAAAAGGTGTTATATAAAAGGAAAACAAATGATAATAACAAATATATACTAGATTGATCTCAATTGAGTGTTTGTTTTGATTATCATGATATTAGATCTGTCTATTCAAAAACAATTTATAATTATATATATTACTGTTTCACCAAACATTTGTCCATATTTGTACATTTTCCAATTTTCCGTATTTGAATAACATTTAATCCCATATTAGAATTAAGGTTAAGTATAAACAAGACTTATATGTAAAACCATCTCCTGAAATTTCCATTTTTATATTTTTGGAATTACGTTTTTAGTTTTGTCGGGCTAACCCGATTTTTAGAGATTTATAATTTTGACAGATCTACGCATTTGCAACATAGGGATATGCTATGTAATAATTGTTTGCATGTGTAAACCGGCATTTTCCTATCTATTCGGGTTAAAGTTTTGCGAAGTGTTTTGGAAATATGAATCTAGAAAGTAATGAATATGCACAAATGCTATAAAAGTATGCAAGGGTTGTGGACATTGCATTATCAGATTGATTAGATTTAACGATTCGTATTTTTACGTAGTACATACTTTGTTGCATGAATTAAAGATATTGGTCATGTAACAATTAATATCATGAAGTTTGTTTTGTCAGAGGATGATATATGCCGCCAACAGCACATTTCAACCAATCATTTGTTTCGACAGAACAAATTTTATGATATTTATCATCGTATGTTCCAATATTGATGTTATCATGGAATTATGATCATGCTTTACAAGTCATTATTGGCTAACTGAGTTTTAACTCGAGAATGTTGTGCTTATGTAATAATGTACAAAATATAACAAGGAAAAAACCTATGATCATAAAGACAATCAATTTCGTACATCATTATTAAGAACATATTGCAAAAGGGATTTGGGTGGTTATAACTCATGGCTAAAAAACAAGGCTACTCAAAAGTAGATTTGGTCCGAGAAAAGATCCTACTGCCACTAGTACCCGGCTTTTATTAGATGGTCTTTATTAGTATGATTCTTACTATCTTTCTCAAGTCGCATTGAATCAATGGGTATATTAGTGATGCAGGCAGAACTTGAGAAATTGGGATGCCCCGTAACGTAACTTATAACTAGTCATAACTTTTGGTTTAAATTACGGTTTGCTATAACTATCGTATCTGTTGATAAAATTATTCAAGCTATAACTTTTTATATATGCAATATTGTAACTTCCGTAACCTGCCGTAACCTTATTATACTGTAAATACTGTTGTATTCTTATTTTTATATGCAACTTATCACAATGATAAAATTTTATTTATTAAAACCATATAATAGCAAAAGGCAAATACAGTATCGATATATATTTGTTACATAATTGTTATTCTATTGCTTATTTGTTATTCATTATATTCTTCATTAAATATTCGAGTTACTGGATTTGTTGTATTGGAATTAAGATTTCCTGAACCTACTCATTGAGTGTTATGATATATTACCATATTCTGATTTTCAATAAATGAATTATTATTGCCAATGAAGGCTGGATTTGTAAGTTCAATTATTTCTTCGATTAACAAATTAGCTTATTCATATCATCGATTGCGTATGATCCAGAAAGAATTAGATTGCTCAAATTTTAACTGGCTAGAATTAACCGTCAATCCGTTTACACTATCTCTAAGATCACATTCCAGCAATTCTTTGTTATAGAAATTTAATGTTTGTACAGCAAAATGCTCAAATTTTTGCCATTACCCTCTAAGTGAAAAATATTAAGTCTTGTTCCGCAATCTCCAAAGATCCACTTTAAAGTCGAAAATTTCACTCACATACAGCTTGTAGTGGGGGATAGAGATGGCTAATTCACTAATTAATCTTTTTAAGCAACAACACTATGCCACTATTTTGATAGCAATTATCTATATTTGAGCATCAGGTTTCTTTATACGTTCATAACCACGAAGTTCTGTAGTAGAGTTTTTTACATAATGCTTCATTGTAATCCAATCTTGCCATCGTAACAAATTTAGTAAAATTGACCTCACTTTAATCCTAAAATGTATTATATTTATATATATATGGAATTAATTAAAATAAATTATATAATATTGAATTATATATAAAATCATTTACATATGTAGGTACGTACGTACGTATGTACCTTGATATAATGAATGCAATAGTATGCGAGTTGTATAATGGTGTTGCAAAAACCTAAACCATAAATTCTAAATCTTTATTACTTTAGATTTTAACAAGTAGCATCAATAGACAATTTATAACCGCTGCAATTTTAATTAATATAGCAATCAGCAATAGTTACATGATGACTTTCCAATTAATTAATCACATCCTTCATAGGTTTAAAATTGCTGATATATTTCCCAAACCAGATCTTATTTAGGTCCACTACAACTTCTTTCTTTAGGCTGATTGAATAAAAATATTCTTCGGATGAGTTATTTTGATTATCTGTCAATTTCTTGAGTGTACTAATTTCTGAAGCAGTTTTAATTGTTGTAAAGTGGACGATTGATTATAAAAAGTTGATCGATGTTATAATTTAATTCAGATAATGGAAAATACATTCTGTTATTGGCTACTTCGCATCCAATAACCATATATTATTATTTAGAACTTCGTTATTTGTATTCATTGCAAAAAAAAAAAAATTCATTAATTAATTTATATATTATTTTAATTACATTATATCAATAGTGGTATTGCAATTGTATAATTAATTATTACATATTACGTGTATTATGATAGCTAGGGGATGATAATCTAGTTGGTTTATTATACTAATACCCTGGCTCAACTCTCTCACATGATTTTTGTCAGGAGGAAATTTACAACTGGTTAGTATATTATTTACTCAG